CCACACACAAAATTAAAGTAATTAACTGATAAATGATAAAACGTGAAAAAACAAAACTTACCTGCAAACGCGAAAAAAAACCGCTGCATAGTGGTTCAAGTATTGGCTGAAAATGATGCAAATATCATAAATGTCATTAGTTTAATATTCGTACTCATTAGACTATCATTAGCTGGAAATAATATGTCGCCCATTAATATTTGCCCTTCAAAGAAGCAACTGTTTGGACTTGCGAGCCCCTTAAAGTAATTGAGGAATACAATTAAAAATTAATTAGAAAGTAAAGCAATTAAAATGCCTTAGCTAAAAAACGAACTCATTTTTAATTACTAACTCAAGAGAGCAATATTTAAAAAAACAAATGTCAATTAAGCCTGAAGTACAACAATGAAACGTTTGCGAATCGGTTCCATTTTCAGACAGTTTAAGGTCGAGAAATATTATTTAAATCGCATATGTGTACTTTAAAATATGTGTCATTTTCATACCCTGAACTCGTTGAAAACGGGTTAAAAGGGGTCTAATGTATTCATCATCATATATCAGAAGGCCAATCGATCTAGATATGCCCGTCTGACCACGAGAGCTATGTCTATTTAAAGGCTAGAAATTTCATGTATACCAAGAACATTATTCATAAATTTCCTTGTAAACTAGATTATAACATATACATCAGATTGTAAAGGTAAACTATGCAGTATAAAATTGCGAGTTCAAACCATGAACGAAATGATATTAAATCGGCAGAGTGTAGATAGAGCTATGTCTATTTAAAGGCTAGAAATTTCATGTATCCCACCATACCAAGAACATTATTCATAAATTTCCTTGTAAACTAGATTATAACATATCAATCAGATTGTAAAGGTAAACTATGCAGAATGAAATCTCGAGTTCAAACCATGACCGAAATGATATTTAATCGGCAGAGTGTAGATCGAGCTTTGTCTATTTAAAGGCTAGAAATTTCATGTATCCCACCATACCAAGAACATTATTCATAAATTTCCTTGTAAACTAGATTATAACATATCAATCAGATTGTAAAGGTAAACTATCTGCGATCATGACTAAGTAGTAAAACTAGTCAAAGCTTTTGCGAATTCGATAAGAACTATCAGTCTCACCTTGGCTGCCAGGACAAACTGATAGTTGTAGTTATCTTTTGATTATATTCTATTATATTCCGTTCTATACAATTCCATTGCCAGCTTTTATTATCATTATAAAGTAAATAAAATGGTTATAAGCGGCACGCCGAAGATTAAATACTCTTGTAGACAATTGGCTTAGAGTTGCTCGGAGTTGTCTCCGTTCATGTGTTGCACATTGAGTGACAAAATAATGATACCTTTTGGGGAAACAAAATTCTGATAAAGCTCTCATGAACAAACAGAATTATTTAACATTTAATGGCAGCTTATCATATTTTCAACAGGTGATTGGTGCAAAGTTCTCGAATTTCTGTTTAACTGATATTATGCGTAATATGTGCACGTAATTGCAGATATTTTTGGTTATAATTATTATACGATATTGGAATGTGCCCGAGGCAGTCTGTGAATAAAGCATTTTTATTGATTTGACCATTGATTGACTTTTGCGCTGATTTTCTGTTTATTATTGCGCTCTTTTCTTTTGCCAAGCCATATTGGCCGGACCCCGCCCGCCCGCCCCTTACTGTTGAATTGAATTAATGGTGCGAATTTTCATGAGAACCGCCCGAGGGAATGGGCAAATGATTGATTTCTGGTCTTTGCCAGGCGGAAAAAGCTGTTCAATGAACCTGGCAACACGCATTTAATTGGCGCCACAATCTGATGCAGAGCAGCGCAGAGAAGTTCTGTCAATCAAATTGGCCCAGCCTCTGTTTCAGCTTCTTTCTTTGTTTTTTTTTTTTTTTTTTATTATTATTCTGTGGTTGCTTGTAAGTTGCGTTAAATTATTGTCGAAAGTAATTTAATTTATTCAACTAAGACAAGTCACTAGGGTGGCGAAAAATTTCGACAGGCATTGTGGTAAACGCAATGTTATCCAATGGAACCTTAAATGAAAACTATTTCGATTTCAAGGCCGGGAAATTGCCAATTAAATCAACATTCACAATCTGCTGCACATCAATCTTCATTTATTCGTTTTGTTTTCTCTAGAGAAAACTAAATGAAATTGTTTGTGTCAAAGCAACAGAAATTTTCAGCTCCAAGGGCTGCCAACTAACAGGTATCAATATGTTCAAGTTTGACAGCTGGATTTAACAGGCAGTTAGCTTATATCCTTTCAATCAGGCAGTGGCATTTAACTTAAGTTTTCTGCATTCACAATTATTACTACAAAAACTATTTTCATTCAATTGAAAGCAATTTTAAATTTAATATATATAATCTTTAAATTCTTTTGTCCAATGAATTTGAAGAATTGCTTTTGTAAGCCATAAATAAAATTAAAATAATCACAAAGTATTTCATTTGATTTTGCTTAAATTCAACTTGGCTCAAAGTAAAATCAGTTATTTTGATAACATTCTCTGCTTTTACCAAAATAAATTAAATGAATAAAATATATAAAAATGAAAATATATTCAATCCAACATTTTGCTGTCATATAATTCATGACCTCCTATTCCACAAAGTCGAATATATAACCACATCAATCGTATTTAGTGCAGCTATAAATATATATCTTTTGAGTTGAGCATTGTGTTTGGATGTGACACAAATTTGTATATTCGAATTATTTATCTCGATATTGTAGCGCAATTTCAATTAAGCATCTAAACGACTCACTTAAAATGCAAATTGCGTGGCATACACACAGGCAGGGACACAAAGAAAACAGTGAGATGGTGAGGGAGAGAGTGAGAGAGAGGGGGAGTGGGGGAGTGGGAGTGGATGAGGGAGAGAGCTAGAGCTAGAGATTTGTGCTGCAACAATTGCTGCAGCATTTGCACATAAATTCCCATTCACATAATAAAACGAACGAAAACTCTTTGCATTTCATATTTAAACGCATTTGCCATGCACCAAAAAATCAAATAATCAAAATATATTTCGTTTTTTCTCTGCCAATTTTCGTGTGAGCGCCTTTTAAATAATTGAGAAGCTCCTAACGCGACGAAGCGCAGTGAATTGTGCAGATGCATATACAAATATGTGTAAAGATATATATGAAAATATATAATATGCACAATTTTTAATTAAATTTTTAATAATATTTGTTGTACTAAAGCGTTCAGACCTTTATCCATTGAAAACTTTTTGTAAATGTAAACAGCTCTAAAGCAAATGTAGTTCCGCCCATTTTCCGAACAGTCGTGTGAGTTTGCCGAGAAGTATGAAACGCGTTTGCAACGAATTTCTATTATTTATCTTGGACAATTAGTTTGATCCTCTTAAAAATTAGTAGTTTTCCACAAACAGTTTTCGCTCGTTTTCCACGCTTGCACGTTGAAAGGTAGCTGAACATTTTCAGAAAATTGTGCGAGACGCGTTGATGATCAATCAGTCAGATAATTGATAAGAAATCAAATAAAATCAATTATATATAATTATTTACATATATAGATATATTTTGTTTCAACTTAAAAGTTGGTCGCCTTTTTGAGATGAGCTAATTTAAGCAACACGTCCCGCTTAGCGGACCGAGGAACGCGAAAGTGAATGTAAACTAGGACTAAAGGCTTAGTCAATCTATCTTTTTATGCGAAAGAGGAGACCCCGAACAGAATACTCTGTAATGCGCTGCTATCTGTTTCCACTTCTAGGCCACGCTACTTGCATTTAGAAATATATATAAAATGGAAAGAATCCGCCATTGAAACAAAAGCTTAACAAATATTTTAAACAGTTTTTTAAGCTTTGCCGAATATATTTGCAATTTATTTTTGTGCTCTTGAAGCTATAATTATATTATTTTTTTTTTTGACTATTTGCTTCAACTATGCAACATTCTTATGTTAAGCGCAAACACACATACACACTCATACATTTATAGAATTTAAAACAAAAGCCAAAAATGTAAATACAATGGATTCTTTTGCTGCACGCTTCGAATTTCTAACATTAATGAAGTGCGTTGATGTGTGCGTGCGTGTGCGTGCGTGTGTGTGTGTGCGAGGGGCATTGCTTGAATTTGTCTGGAATTCTAATTAAATGTGTGTGCGTATTGAGCTCGTGCGTAGCTAAAACATTGCCTAAGCAAGTGTCTCCTTGTATTAAATGTGCCCAATTAAACGTCAAATGGCACATGCTTTTGCTCACTCGAAACAATTTTAAGCTAATCACAGCACATAAGCAGCTGCCTCACACACACACACACACACACACACACAGACACACACACACAGCTTATTTGGTAGTCAGCTCACACATAAACAGGCACACGCACAAGTACACCTTAAACTTTTGCCAAATCCGGTAAATCATCAGCTATTTTATGGCTAAGCGGAAATGCGCCTGCCGCCATTTTGTTTACAAGTGACTTTGTCACTAAGCGCCCAGCCGAATGCCATAAACGATTGATGAGTCCCAGTTCCTAGCTTACACACACACACACACACACACGCACACACACACTGCCTTTAAGCATGCTTTGTATTTGCGCTTATTAATATCAAAAACTTGTGCCCTTTTGTTTATAGCGGCATATTTTGCGGCTTACCCTTTAACACACGCACACACACACACACATACACACCCAAACCTGCTTACAAGCTGCCCACCCACTTTATTATTTACAAGTTTTTGTTTATTGTCAGCTTTTGGCCCCGACCTTACAAAGATCTTAAAGCTTGTCAACGCGACCCGCAACGCCTCCCCTCCCCCCACCCCCACCCCCCTCACTCACATTGTGCGGTGCGGTTAACGAGCCAAAGTTTTCAACTTAAATGTTAGTTATGAATTTGATTAGGCTCTGTTGTTCGGTTCGCCGCAGTATCTCATCCTGATTAATTAATATGCATTTGATTTGTCAAATATGTTTATTTTTTTCATCTCTGCTTACAGCTCAAAGCCTGCCGCACTATTGCGAGGAGAAGCAGTTCCGTTGCAGGGAGAGCGGCGAGTGCATACCCATTAGATTTGTCTGCGATGGCGATACGGACTGCAAGGATCACAGCGATGAGCTGCTCGAACAATGCAAATTTACAGGTGAGTCGAGACGACGGCCCAAACATAAACTCCATAAACTGTTGGCAAAGTTGTGGATGCCTTTGAGGCTTCATACTAGCTGCCACCTCAATTTGTTGCGCCACAGCCTGCCCGCTGCACCCTTAGACAAATGAGTTTTATTCAACTTCAGCTTGCAACTTTTGTTGTTGCCACATTTTTTATAGAGCCTCGCCCGGCCCAAAGTCAAGGCACATGATGTATTTGCTGTAGCTGTTGGGCTTGCATGAATGGCCACAGCTGTTGTCTGTGTGGCCAACTACCAACGCCCCCCCCTTTCCACCCCACGACTCAAATGCTCAAACCCCCCCCCCTCTCACACTCTAATCTGTTGTCAGTCATTTTGTAGTTTTTCAATTTAGAAAATGTCACAGAACTAACCATTTACTTAGTTGCTGTGTGTATAAATGTGCATGTGTGAATGTGTGCGAGTGTGTGTGCGAGTGTGTGTGTGTGTGTTTGCTTTTGTATTGGATTTTGGTGTTTTACTATTTGTTTGGCTTCGTTGTTGAGTAAGTAACAACTGGCTGTTTATTTAGTGTCATGTTAGGTGGGCTCTCAACTGCCTCAACTGAATTTGTTTTCGTTTAATTTTTAGGCCCGATGTATAGAGGATATATAGAGTTATATGTGTGCGTGTGTATGTGTGTGTATGTGCTTGTGGGGTTTTTTTATTAGCTCTATGCTTTTAATTTACAGTCTCTAGTTTATTCGTGCTTCGTTGCTTTCATTTGGCAACACGTTGATATTTTGTGTTGCATACTTTCAGGCTGGCACTTCAAATAGTTGTCGCCCTACAATGCGCGCTTAAATATTAGGCCGACCTACAAAAATTTACCTCACGTCGCGTAGAACAATTAACAATTGTTATAAAAATAGTCAAATTGTTGGATTGAATGTAAATTTAAATTTTCAAAAAGCAAAATTGTATTGTTTTTACCAAGCATTTCCATTATTCCATAAATAAAATATACATTTTCAATTAACGTCAGTCCAGTTCGTTTTATAGTCTCGATCCTTCAAACAAGACTCTTTTTTATTTATATTGTATATATATTTTTTAAACTGTCCAGTCGAAGGATTTGCAATTTAAAAACCATCGAAAAAGTTTTAATAATATCCATATTAAATTCAATATTTAATTGTATGAATTGAATTGTTTTTAAAATATACATACTCTCCCTTTTATTTTATTTATAAATTTTAAGCAGTATTATTATTTAATTTATTATTGTGATTTTTCAACAAGTGTGCCACAGCATTTATTATTTTTGAATTTGCATTTATGGCCACAAAAAGTATGAGTTAAACTGTTGGCCAAGTTCAACAAACTGAACTGTAATCACAAAATGCTGGACACAAACAAAAACCTTGAGCCGTGCTGTGCTACTGTGAGCGAGTGCAAGAGCTTAGCAAATGAGTGTGTGGCAAGCGGGGCACTTGCAAACCGTACAACAGCTAAGTACGAGTTGAGTCGTATTTGGCGAACGTTTAAGACAAGTCAAGTGCAATCTAACTAAGCCATTGCATCATGCTTCGAGCACAGACACAGTTTAAAAGAGCTTACGCCGAGAGCAGACGCACAGCAGAGCAGCTGGCAAAAAGCTTAACTTCTTTGATTGTAGCTCAAGTCGAGAATGATAATGTATGCAGAAATAATTGTAATTCCATTATTTAGGAAAACTTTCAGGCAATAGATTATGCTGTTAATTTTCAAAACAAACATTTACTGCAACACAATTGGGTGGAAACTATATTGGCTCGATATAAAATGCGATTTTTCATAAATTCGATTTCTTTAATCCAATTTAATGACTGCCAAAATTGCACCTAAAATTAAAATGTGTTTGTTTTTAAAATAACTATTTATTTTTAACCGTTAACTACGCTGCCTTTTAACAAGTATTTGCCAAGGATAATTGGCTTACCAGTTTTTAGAATTTTTGGGCATTAAGCTAAATATCAATGCTAAAGATAGCACAAAGTTCGACTACAAAGAAAATGTACTTTTTTCATTAGTAAAGAGTTTTCTAAACCAACGTAAAACATATTTTTTATATTTAGCTTTCTCTTCTACTCAATTGTTTGATAAAAGTAAACTTTTTAAATTGCTATCGTAGTCCAAGAAAATTACTCAATTCAGCTTGCAGCTTGTTTTCATTATAAAACATAATAAATTCTAAGAATACATTTTTCTGACTAAAGTACGTAATTAAAAAATAGTACAAAAAATTCATAAAGCGATAGCTTCATAATCTTTTTAATACGAACAAATATAGTTTTAAGAACTATAAGCTTAATGTATAATAACTAGATTATTTGTGATAAGCCCAAGCATTTGCTAATTTTCCCTGGAAAACACAAGTTGTTGCAGTCTGTGCCTTCGACAAAAGGAAGTCGTGAGGTCATTAAGTGTTTTTTTTTTTTGTTTTTTTTTTTGCTGATATAGCACAGACAATCCTATACAGTCTCCGTACTTATCGCGCACTTAACAATTGCGACTTAAATAATTAGTAATTAAAATACATATGAGCGAAAGAGTGAGATTGTGAGCCAGAGGCGGGGAGAAATGAACTCAACTCTTAAGAATCGCAATGCGACGCACAGACAAAAACAGGCTTAAACTTGACCCATTGCCCCAAACAACTAGTGCAGATAGAGGATATATATGTATACATCTATAATATATACATCTGGAATTCCCCCGCACGGCGCACAGTAGTGGGTCAATTGTCTGAACGCGTCATGTGGGATTCTTATCGGTGCGGCGTTTGGTTTAAATGCGTCTCAGGCTAATTGGGCGACAGCAAATAAAAAACAAAACTAATTAGTAAGCGTGCTCCAATCGCGGTCTGCTCGACTATAATATACCCTGTAGTTGTACAAACTCAGACACATATGCTACAAATTTAACTTTTACCTTTTAAGCTATACAAGTTAGTCTAATATCGATTTTTATAGAAAATGATATGTTACCAAAGGGATAAAATATATATATATACAGATTTGAAAAAGAGTAATACAGATAGACAGATGTTCAGACGGGACGCCTTCCCACAGTCCGTTGCATGCATATGCACAACTGCAATATACCCTATTTAAACTGTACGTTCAATTGGCACATGTCATTCATGCCATAAACAACACAAGATTTTAATTATTATTAATACGGTTCATTTAGTTATGCAGCATTTGAAATTTGCATTTGTTATTTCGCTGTTGACAAATTGCAGCTGATTAGCCGCAGACAGAGTCGTATAAGCATTTGCTGCCGACTGATAAGCGCTCAGCCAAACATTTCCTGACGCCGCCGAGCTACTTGGCATAGAAAACACACTCACTCACTCACTCACTCACTCGCTCACTCACCAACACACTCACTAACTCACGCACACGCACATGATTCACTCGGCATTGAGTGCAAGTTCCTGACGGTTATCAGAATTTTTTTTGTTGAGCGCAAGCTCACAAACTGCTTGTTTCTGCTTTTGGATGCTGCTGGCTGGCGATTTGTATTTTTAAGATACGCCGCATTGCGCTCAAAACTCAGTTGGCAACGAACTTTGAATTAAAACGGACGTGTGTGTGCCACAGGACGTGTCCCAGCCGTAAAGCAGCACAGCCCGAGAATTGGGCATTGAAAAAAGGCGAATCCTAAGTAAATTGCCAAAAAAAAACCAACAAAAAAACAAGTGACAAGAAAATATTCGAAAAATATAAATAAATAAAATTTGAAAATAAATACATTTATTTGCACCCAAATAAATATTAAAAAGTGTTAATTATATTGCAAAAATCGGACTTGCTGTGCGGTGCGTGCGTGTGTGTTTACTGTGCCTGGCGTCGCATTGGCGCCAAGTTTAGGCGAACATATTTTTTGGTTTTTTTGGCCAGGCCAGGAAGCTTTTACAGCGCGTCTGTGTTTCCCTCAGTGTTTCCACAGTTGACTTTCGATGCTTCTGCGCGTCGTCGTTGTTGTTGTTCTTTTAAGGGTTCTCTTAGCACAGCTGCTCTTAGCAGACAGACATATATTTTTTTTGTATATTTTGATTTGGCTTTTGTTTTGCATTACACGAAGCACATGAACTTGACACAAATGTGAATTATGCCCCGCTCTGTCCCGGCCTGGCCAATTGCCATTGCCATTGACATTTCAATGCAGTCGAGGCGTGCGTGTCGTATTTCAATACGGCAGCTCTTAAGCTTTACACGCATCTGTTAACGGCCATAAAGCGTATTAAGTTGTCATAATTAACAACAATGTCAAAAGAGGTGTAGTTATAAAACAATGGCCATTTAAAGTAAACACACACGCAGCGCAGCCCTTCAATGTGGAGATTAAAAAAGAAAATACAAAAAATATATGTAATAATTAAGCAAACACAAAAGCCAGCCGGCGCTTAATTAAATCGTTTAATTTATCAAACAAAAAAGATAAAAGTGGATATTATAAAATATAAATACAATACAAAAGCAGGCATTCATTTGCTGCTGCACACGAAAAAAAGTGATATCAATTAAATTATGCAAATACACAAAAACCAAATACATTTCCATATTTAAATGCACGCATAACAGAGGCAATTGCACGAGTGAAAAATGTGCACTAAAATAGTTTATTATAAAATGCTAATCCAAACATTGATTTAAATAAATTTATAAATAATGCCTAAAGCAGAAAAAAAAAATTATTCATTTATTGATCAATAAATTTGGCTAATTTATAATTTATGCCAGAACAAAGCTAATATATTCAAATATGCATTTGGGCACAAATGTGGATTATTTCTGAATAATAGAAAACCACACGCATATTATTAAAATATCGACTTGCAGCCTGCTTCTAAGAAGCAGAATCTGATATTCCAATCTAAGCTAATGGCTAAAGAATATTGCTTTGATTCATTAATTTAATTGCACTAGCTCTTAAATAAATTATCGAAAACTAGGCTTATCATACAACTTTAATTTCAATAATGAAG